CGCGTCTGGAATTTGCAGCAGTCCCGCACCCGCATGATCGTGGAGCAGGTGAACGGGCGTTTGAAGACCAAGTGGCGCATTCTGGTCGGGCGCCTCGAGTGCGACACGTTCCGTGCCCCCCAGGTCGTCGCCGCGTGTATTGTGCTTCACAACATTGACTTGTGCCTCGGTTTCCGTCCCCGCCAGGAAGAACCGCGCCAGCGTAACACGTGGTGGCTCGAGGGGCCCGTGGCCGACGCGCCTCATTTCTCGCCGCACGACGAGGGTTTTACTCCGACCCGTCGTCGAGCTCGCTTGGCGGCGTATTTCTACGCCTCTTGGCGGCTCGGGCATCCTGATTCTTCTCAACCAGGTCTTGGGTACGTTCCCAAAACTCATCGAACTGGTCCCTCATAGCCCCTTTGACCGACTGTGCAATGATGCCTGCGATTTCGGCGCATAAGACGGAGTCGTTTGCGTTCATGTGATTACGGCTGCCCTCTCCCTGCCCCTCCATTTCGTTTTCCTCCTCTGCAGGCGCAGGCCGAGGCCGGCGGGAGACACCTCCGCTGCGGAGCGCAACACCAGGGTGTGCGCCGACGATGCGTGACCGCGAAGGGGAGGCCGAGGCGGTGGCTGCAGCGGGAAGCCCGACGGGCGCCAGCGAAGCTGGTGGCAGTTCTGACCGCCGAGAGCTTGAGGGCGAGTGACCGGGCGACACACTCGTGGCACGGGACGCTGGCGAGCGGCGGGTTGACTGCGCACGACGGGGAGAAGCCGCGGTAGCATCCGCTCCTGCATGCGCCACAGACGCCGTTGTAGGAGACGCCACATCTGGGATAGATGGGCGTTGCATAGGGGGAGCGGGGTTAGCATTGTTACAAATGTTTCATCAACGCCTCTGGCGCAATGTTGTAATGTTTGCAACAGTGTAATGGAAAAAAAAGAGTAAGACACAGCGCGTATGCAAGTTTGTGCAATACTTACTAGGAATCGATCGCGCGGCAGGCGGAGGTGCGGTAGTCGTGGCACCAGGTAAACTTGCCACCAGAGCCGGAGGGCGCGCATTCGCTCTGTCGCCCAGAAACCTGTCAAACATGTCGAAGAAAATGGGGACCTTCGGAGGCTTACCCTTACCAGAGGGTTTGAGCAAAAGATCGGCCACCTTCCGGTACTGGGCCTCCATGCGGAAAACCTTTGCTTTTACGGCGGCAAGGTTATGGCGCCAGCCCGGGTGACGCGCGCGTACTTGCTCGAAGAGCATGACGTCGCGATTCTGGCCCTGCAGGCGGTTTTGGCTACGGTACTGCTCGTCGAAATCGTGGCGGATCCATGCCAGCTGCATGACTTCCTCCGCCTGCCAACCTTTTTTGTCGCTCTGCATCGTAGCGTCGTTGTCGTCGTCTGCCGCGTCGTCAATGTTGCAGTCTACTTCGCCTGCATCGAAGTAGGCTAGGGTGTCATCTTCGGCGCCCAGTGGGGTGTTCGGAGTTGGAACACGAGCGACGATGGAGTCCAGATCAATGACGTCGAGGCGTCGGGAAGCAGCAGGATCTACGGCAGCACGCCGACGTCTGTGAGGAGAAGGAGTAGGTGCGGGGGTTGCCGCCGTTGCGGTGGTTGTTGGTGTTGGTGCAGTAGGATTCGTGGGTGTGGCAGAGACACTAGTGCTGGTGTTTGCGTTAGACATGGCTGCTAGTTCCTGAAATGGGATAGCTGCATACCTTTGCAATTTCAATGTGAAGTTCCGATGCGCGTTGCGCATCTTCTCACAAATGTGGCTGGTGCGACGTGGCATGGAGGTTGCGCGGGATTTTTGACGTGGTCCGTCAAGACGGCTTTGGAGTCGTTGGGGTATGGGGTGAACGTGCCACGATTGTCGCCACGTGGCCTCCATTCCGTTCACGAAGGCTGTGGAGAGTTCGTTGTGGTACTGTTGCTACTCGTGATTCGCTCGCACATTTCGCCAGAGGCCCGAACGTGCGTGAAATCACACAAGTGAATGTGAACATGCCGAAACATGTTCACACCTGAAACTCGAGTCTTGGTCATGTTTGCAGTTCGCATGTAGCCATGGCCCAGTTTGACGAAGTTTCGCAAATCGGGTTTCGCGAAATTTGCGAAGTTGGTAACCACAATAAGTTCGCATTTTTTTTTGAATTTCAAAACCGACCTCACGCGCCCTTAGCAAGTCGACGTTCTTAGAAAGTACAGTACGTCTGTAGTCTGCTCCAACCGCGCTGCGGTTGCAAGATCGTCCTTCACGGCATGGTGCGTGAACGCACGCACCTCCTTGCCAAGGTTTCCCGAAGTCGAAGGGAAAAGGGAGGAGCCGAAGCAACGTCCGTCCTTGCCGCTTTATTTCTCAGAAGCAGCTTTTTTGTTAGTGCTCCATTTGCCGCCTTTTTTCACACCCTGGCCTCAAGTTCTCTTCACGATAGGGAATACGAATACGACGGAGCTTGCCGTTGTTCCTTTGACCTGCCGGTAGAACTGACGAGACATGACAGAAACCGTTACGACTCGTCCAGTCATCCGACGACCAGAGGCGCGAAACGACAGGATAGAACACTCGGCAGTGCTGCGCTGCGCAACCGGTCAAATTCGGCCATTGGTCCACGGTCCACGTGTTGCTGAACTCAGTACAGTACAAACGAGGACAAGCCTATGGTACAGTGTACAGTACTGCTAGTAGCCTCCACTACAAGCGTGGCTCGGCAGAGAGCTAGAGAGACCGCCAGTCCAAGAATCTCCAATTAGGGTAGGGTTTGCTCCAACGAGGCTAGTGACCTTGTGATGAGTGGTGCTTCCTAGCGTTGACCTCGTGTCGGAGGCATACTGAATCTTGGATTGGGTGATATGTCTGACAGACTGACTGCTCCTGCTGCTGCCGTTTCACTCACTCACGCCCACGCAACCCGGACGGCAACTCACCCGGCAACTCACGCGCAACCCGGACACTCTCCTCATTCGGGTCCCAATCTTGAACCCCTCTGAGTCTAGGGTTTCGTCTTTTCGTCCTTGATTCGTGAATCGTGAATTGTCACAGCATTCAGCCCCGAATCACCAGCACCACCGAAAACAAGAACAAGAAACTAGCTGGTGTCACGGACGGGTTTCCTTTCCCCACCATCCCATCTCTTCCCACCTCGCATCGTCCCCCGTCGTCCCCGCTTAGCAAGACTCTGGCGAAATCCCTAGTACCGCTTCTTAGATCGGCAACATCGCGAGATTCGCAAGATTCGCGACTCGCGGAGCGAGCTTCGCCGCTTCTGCGCGCTTCTGCGACTGCTGTGCCGTCCGTAGTATAGTAGCACCCAGTCATCCTCGGCGAATGAATCTCGGCCGTCTGCGGCGACGAGGCGCGGATGGATAGGTGTCTGTATCACCATCACCCCTACTAGTACAGTACCACCACGAACCCTAGTACGTAGTAGAGATGCGTTTTGTGCTGGCGTTACAGTACAGTACATCTGAGCTGACTCACCTTTTCAGTTCAGTAGACGCGTGTCGTACAACACGGTTTACAGCACTGTCGGGATTGGGCTTTTGAGGAGGATGCTGTGCAGTGTCCGCTGCGCGGTGACCGTTGGGTGGTGACCATTGGCTCGTGATTGTGTGCTGTGTGACGCTGTGCGCTGACTGCGTTGTGTTGTACTGTACGGTGTGACCGTTGTGGGGTGACAGGCACGCCGCCTTTGGCTCGGAGCTCCGTGTGTTGGATTGGAACTCGGTGTTTGTCTCTGTGCAGTGCATGCAGCAGCAGCACGCCTGGGATCTGATCGTGCCAGTGGGACCATGGCACTGCCATCCTGATGATGATGCAGCTCCAGCGCAGCAAGGACGCAGCTGATGGCCTTGGCTGGGCTACAAGTTGTAGCCAGAGCGGCATCATTCGCACGGCGTTCAATCTGACGCTCCTCTCCTCAGAAATAGAGAACGGATAGTGTACGGCTCTACGTTCACAATCTTGCAACAGACTTTCGCCTCCAACTCAAGAATCGAATTCTTGAGGCGCCTAGAAATCTCCTCCCCAGCTGCTCTCGTTCCCCCTCCTCGTCGTCCTCCTCTTCCGCCGCCTCCTCGTCCTCCTCCTCAATGGATCTCTCGTCTCCTAAACACCGATACAAGCCCGTTTTTCCATCGCACGCGCCCACATTAGACGGCCTTATATCCGTCCAAGTACAAGCAAGACCCTGTTATTCTTCTAACTCTCCCCGTCCTGAACCCCACTGCTCCGCATGACTCCTGAGCTTACCACTTAGAACTTTCCAACTCTTAGCAGCGGCAACACAGCAGCAGCTACACGGGGATTTATCTCTGTGTCCCCTTCCTGTTCCCTATCCTGTTAACCCCATTCACCCTACCGTCTCCTGAGCTCCTGAGCTTACCACTTAGAACTTTCCATCTCTAAGCAGCAGCGACACAGCAGCAGCAGCAACTACACGGGGATTTATCTCTGTGTCCCCTTCCTGTTCCCTATCCTGTTATCATCCACCGTTCACCCTACCGTTCTTTTTGACACCTGTCAAAAGTTACAGAGAAATTCATCCCCGGTTCCCCTTCGGCTTCGCTATCCTGTTCCGCCTACCGTTTCCCAACCTTTGCACCTTCCCTCTATCGTCTCCCCCTACCGTGTCCTCCTACCGTTCCCCCTCCATTCCCCCCTACCCCTCCCCCTCTCCTACTGCTCCCCTACCGCTCCCCCACCCCTCCCCAAGAAAGCGTCTGCATCCCTTCTACAGACCCTTTCCCCCGCAGCCTTCCTTCTGAAATTCTACTGAGGCCCCTTCAAAACTCTTCCCCCTACCATCCCCCCCAACCATTCCCACCCTCCTCAAGAGAGCTTCTGCAGCGCTTCTACAGACCGTTTCCCCCGCAGCCTTCCTTCTTATTCTCAACGCATCCGTTTTTCTCGCGAAGCATCTCAGAATCTTCTAAGCCGCTGCTGAAGAGACTTTTACGCACACGTTCCTTCCCAAAAGTTCATGAAGTTACTGAAGTTAATGAAGTTAATGAAGATGGTGAATGAGACAGCGGTTGCCGGCCGGCCTGCAGCGGAGCGTGACGTCACCGCCGCTGCTGCTGCTGCTGCTGCTGCTGCTGCTGCTGCTGCTGCTGCTGCGGCAGACGAGCAGACTCTGGCTGCTCTTCAGGAAGACTTGGGTAACTTCCAACAAGATTTGGGTAACTCGCAACAAAAATTGGAAGATACCCTGCAGGAGCTGGGTGTTTCCCCGCAGGAGCAGGGACGGGGGAGCAACTTGAAGTGGGAGGAGGTGTCTTTTGAGTCAACTCAAAAGGAGGGGCGGCGGCGGTGCAAGTGGGAGGAGGTGGTGGCTCAAGCGGTGGGCTCCGATGGGCACAGCTGGCTCAAGTACGGCCAGAAGCAAGTGCAGCGCTCCAACGCCACCAGGTTTGACTCCCGTTGACTCCCGTTGACTTCCCTTGCTTGACTCCCGTTGACTAACCTGGAACCCTGCAGACGTGTGTTTACTTCCCTTGATTCCCGTCGACATGTGTTCACTCCTGTTGACTTGCGTTGACTACTGCTCGCTTCCGCTGACCCAACTTGTCTTGCGTTGGCTTCTGTTGACCTGCGTTGACTTCTGGTGACTCAGGTGAGCCTCCCGTTGATTCACCATCTCATCATCTCACCCCCTTTCTGTTGACTTTTGTTGATCGTATCCCCCACTCTCCCCCTTCCGCCATTACCAGGTGCTACTACAAGTCTACAAGTGCAGCCGTGCCAAGGCTAGGCTACCATCTCACCCGAGCAGTGCTACTCTCTTCTTCCCCTCCTCGCCTCCCCCCCCCCTTCCGGCATCACCTGGAGTTACTACAAGTGCAGCCGTGCCAAGGCTACCATCTCATTCGTGCTGTGCTACTGTCTCCCTCCCTCCAACCCCCCCACCCCCCTCCCCTCCCTTCCAGGTGCTACTACAAGTGCAGCCGTGCCAAGGCCAACCCGCGCTGTCCGGCCAAGAAGACCGTTGACATCATCTACAGTCACAACGAGCCTCTTTCCCCCGGCGCCATCCAAGTCTCCCACCGCTGCCACCTCCACAACCACCCCGCGCCTGATTTCCTGCCATGCCAGTGCCGCCGCCGCTGCAACCGCCACCACCGCCGCCACTACTGCTGCTGCTGCTGCTGCTGCTGCTGCTGCTGCTTCTCCACCTGTTTTTCCTGCTCCTGCAGCTGCTTCTGCTGCTACTGTTGCTTCTACCGCGCCGGCTATCGCCGGTCGAATCTCTCCAGAGATTAAGGAGTGGGACGGCGGTTGCGATCGGGATCCCCTCAAGCAGCAGCAGCAGCAGCAGCAACCTCAGCAGCAGCAGCAACCTCAGCAGCAGCAGCCTGAGGCGGAATGGGCGGGCATGTGGGACCCCATCGCATGGCTCAACACACTCCCGGGCACGGAGGCACACGCAGAGCAGGGTCGAGCGGGCACGTGTGACCTTCACGCATGGCCCAGCACACTCCCGGGCATGGAGGAAAACGTTGACTCGGAGGGGGTTCTTGCGGGCACGTGTGACTCGCTCGCGTCGCCAAGCACGCTCCAGAGCGGGGAGAAACATGCAGAGGCCGATGAGCCAGTCAGGAACACACTCCAGTGCCGTAATCCGCCCAAGCCTTCTCTTGCCCTCCCCCTCGTGCTCCCCCTCAACATTCCCCTTGACTCTCCTCTCAGTTCCCCTCTCGAGTTCACTTTTGAGTTGACTCAAAAATCTCCTCTCGACCCCCCTCTCCACTCCCCCCTCCACTCACCCCCTCTCAACTCTCTTCTCAATTCCCCTCTCGGCTCTCCTCTCGATTCCCCTCTTGACTCCCCCTTCGAGTCGACTGGAAACACGCTCAGTGCTCTAACATCGAGTGAAGTAGGCGCTGATGTCTATTATGGTGTCAATCCTGGTGGCAACCTTGATGTCAACCCTGGTGTCGACCCTGGTGTCCACCCAGATGTTTCTGAGTATGATTGTCACACATTGCTGATTCGTTCTGCTGGTCTCCTCTCTCAGCTGATACAAGATCGAGAGCAGCAAAAGCAACGGCAGACGCAACGTCATGTGCAGAATCAGCAGCAGCAGCACCAGCAGCAGCAGCACCACCACCAGCAGCAGGAGGAGGAGGAGGGCGAGCAGCAGAAAAGACAAGTGCAGCAAGAGCAGCAGCAAGAGCAGCTGCCATTGGTGCAGCAGCAAGAGCAGCAACTGAACACAATCCTGCTCGCTCTCTCAAACGCTATGCCACGCAGCACGCGTGCCAAGCGGCCTGCCTCAGCCATGGCTGCACCTGCTGCTCTGCCTGCTCTCCACACTCCTGCCTCTCGGCCCTGCACACGTCACACTCGTGACGCGGCTAGTGAGGCGCGTCGAAACTCGCATGCCAAGCGACCCCCCTCAGCCATGGTTGCTGCTGATGCTCTGCCTGTTCCACCCGCTCCTGCCTCTCGTCCCTGCACACGTCACACTCGTGATGCGGCTACTGAGGCGTGTCGAAGCTCTGCCGTGGCTGCACCTGATACCCTGCCTGCCCTCCGCACTCCAGCCTCTGATGCGGCGATTGAGGCGTGGCCTGCCTCAGCCTTGGCTGCTCCGGACGCTCTGCCTGTTCCACCCACTCCATCCTCTCGGCCATGCACGCATCACACTCGTAACGCGGCGACTGAGGCATGTCAAAACTCTGCCGTGGCTGCACCTGCAGCTCTGCCTGCCCTTCGCGCTCTGGGCTCTCGGATTGGCGCGCGTCACGCTCATGACACGGCTGGTGATGCGTTTCTGCCGCCCCTTGATCTGAGCACTGTGGACCGTGGCGTGGATGATGGGGGTGTGATGGAGCGAGGAGAGGGAGGGGAGGATGGTGCTGCGGGTGTGATGGAACGGGGGGAGGGAGGGAAGGGTGCTGGTGAGGGTGAGATGGAGCAAACGTGGAGTGGAGTGGTGGAGGGGCCTGGAACACCCACACGCAGTAGCAGCATAGGGGAGAGCTTCAGGGCAGGTGAACAGGCAGGCGGAAGGGAAGGGGGAAGGGCGTGGGGAAGGGCGGGGGGAAGGGCGGGGGGAAGGGATTTTCAGAGGATGGCAACATGCAGTAGCAGCACCAGGGAGAAGAATATCATGCTGGTTGCCAGGGCTATTAGGAACCGCGTGGCAGCACGCAGCGGCAGCGGCAGCGGCAGCGGCAGCAGTAACATGGGTGCGCATGGGCAGGCGAGTGAAACAGACGGTGGTCTCACGTGCAATAGTCAACTCCCCTCTGGGTCCCTCTTGCAACCTCTGGCTGCTGTCGCAACATTCAAGCACCATCAGCTCGCGGCGGCAAATGATTCCTGTGGGTCTGAGCAGAGGGCATGTGGGAATGACCTGAAGACGTGTGGGGCCGAGGTGATGGCACGTGGGAACAAGCTGAGGGCATGTGGAGCAGTGTGGGATGCACAGCGACACTTCAGCTCCCATTGTGACAATGCAAAGCTGAGCATCCTTCCTGCTTCATTGTCCGGAGAGCCATCGGGTTATCATGATGTGTTTGCCTTATCAGTTCATCAGGGAATGTTTGCCACGTCAGCCCAGCTGAGAAGCCCTGAGCCGCCGGTCCAGCAGGAAATGTTTGGGCCATTGATCCCTGCAGCAGTGTTTGCGTTCCTGGGAGGAGCCAGCACCACCCGGGTTTCGGACTTTGCAGCGGTTGGCGTGCGCAAGGAGCTGCAGTCGTGGCTCGAGGGCAGGCCCTCAGAAGTCAGAGAAATTTGTCTGATTTGATTGGAAAACTCTGAGATTTCAGATTTTTTTTGAGAGTGAACTCTGAGAAATTCAGATTTTTTTTGGCTTGAACTCTGAGAAATTCAGATTTTTGTTATAGGCTGACTCTGAGATTTCAGAGATTTTCGTAAGTGTACTCTGAGGAATTCAGAGTACAATCGAGTACCGACTCTGATAGAAACTACCTGTGCACCGACACCCATGATTACCCGCGGTACATTGTACCTGTGGGCGACGCCGCCCTGCGGCGCGGTGTTTCCCTCGTACAGCTGGAAGATTCCCCCGCCCTGCGGTGCGATGTTTCCCACGGTGTAAGCTCCAGCACACACTCTGTTAGAGCACTGATTGGTCCGTTTGGCAGCTTTTGACTGCCATCACGAACCCCACCACCACCAGTGTCCACATTGCTGCAGCAGTTGCCACCCACGTAAATGTGATGGCAAGGTGACGTTGCCAAGAAGACCAGTTAATTGGTCCCTTTGGCAGCATCGTGTACCACACGAAACATTCCTCCCAGCTGTGCACGGCAGACGCGCCTCGTCGTTGCCGTGCATGCTAGGCAACCAGCGACCTGAGGCACGGATGGCCCCAGTCAGTTATAGGGCCATCCGCATCGAGCTAGGGTTTCATCCCCATCCCTCAGCTCAGCTTCTACTCACGGGGCCCCTCCACTGCCCAGTTCAGTTGCCTCAGAACCGCCTCACGTTCCTGCTCGGCAGGCTCTCCCAACTCGAGACCATGGCTCAGCCCGACAATTCCGCTGCTTCCGATGACGACGACCCTGGATCGCAGCCTGCGCTAACAGGCTTAGATTTCCTCCTCAGTCACCTAGCTCTCGAGAAGGTAGCACGCGCCGAGCCCGATTCAGTCCCCACCTTGAAGGAACCTCCAGCACCCGTGATCTCAACTCCCGACCCTGTGGAAGAGTCACCTGCGGAACCAACTGTCGTTACGGCATCGCACCATCCCGCTCAGACCACGGCGCGAACCTTCCGCCTCAAGCAGGCGACATTGAGCTTCGCCAAGCCGTCAAGTTCGACCGCCGATGTCAACAATTCTCCCCGCACGGCTGACCGTCCGCGACCACGCCTTACCGTTAATCTGGCCGAGCTCATTGAAGGGCTGTACGATGATGCCATCGACAAGTTCACGAGTCAATGGCAAGCGCGGTTTCCCTGGCTGCAAAACACCAAAACCACCTCCGGCTTGCCTGCCTTCAAGTGTACTGTGTGTGTAGCTTATGCAGGCGACGGAAGCAAGTGCGGGAGACGCGGCAATGGAGCCATGGACTTGCAGACCCAGTCGTTCCGTAAACACGCGGGCACGGCGAAGCACAAGCTGGCGATGGTGAGACAAACAGCAGTGCAGGAGTGCGGAGCGAGGCAGCCGCAGATCGACCAACATCGCGCCACCACGGACGGAGAGCAGTCGCGCGTCGTCGCCCTTCTCGACTCCCTGCTGTTCATCAGCAGGTCCGATGCGCCGATGGGGATGTGGGTGAAGCTTGTGCGTTACCTGGCGGAGAAGGGCGTGCCTGGCTTCCCGAAGAAGGGCTATGGCACCTACTATACCACGTAAGTGCAATTGCCGGATGTTATTTGATGCATTTTCTTGATCCTGTTTGATGCATTTCCTGTCTGATTGATCCGAGAGTTAATGTGCAAACTCCTGTCACTGCATGCAGATCCGGTTTCGGGGAGCTGACGCAAGCGACTGCGACATGGCTGCAGACCACCCAGCTGGACCACGTTCTGGCGTCGCCCTTCATCGGCATCGCTATCGACGAGAGCACTGATAGGTGCAGCGGGAAGCACCTGATCCTCTTCGTCTCGTTCATCCGTGACTACAAGCTGGTCACGGAGTTCATGGCTCTTCTTACCGTGGAGAAGGCCGATGCAGCTTCCCTCCTCAGCGTTCTGTTGTCACACCTGCAGGCTGTCGGGGTCGACCTTCAGCGCATTGCGGGGATCAGCACCGACGGTGCCAATGTCATGATGGGCAGCAGGTCCGGCCTCACCACACGCCTCCGACTCCGCATCCCCCATCTGGTGTCTTCTCACTGTATCGCGCACAGGTATGTGTGTATGTTTGTGGTTTTCAGTTGAGTGTTTACCGTCTTTACGAGTGCTTCTTTTCACCATGTACTAATGATGTTTGCATCTTGTGTACAGGGAGGCACTCGCGGCCAAAACGGCGGCCGATAAGGTTCCAGCCTTCAATGTCATTGACGCGGTCATTCGCACCGTGGCAGAGTATCTCGGCCGTTCGGGACCGTGGCATCAACGGTTCATGGGGCTCCAGGAAGTCTTCGCGTCAACCTCCCTTGAGCTCCAGGGCATTCATTCCGTCCGGTGGCTTTCGCGTGGCGACGCAGTGCTCAGGCTTGTCGCGGTGCTGCCGGCACTCATTGTGATGCTCAAGGAGTGGGACGCAGACCTCTATGCTCTGGTTACGAGCTACAGGTTTCATTTCCTGCTCTTCTTCATTGCAGATGTGCTTGAGCAGCTCAACATCCTGAACCGGGTGTTCCAGCAGAAGGAGGTGAGGTTGCGCATAGTTGTCTGTTGATGTTGTGTTGTATGCTTGTAAACTTTGATCAATTACTAACTACAGTGTTTTTGTTTTCTGTCCAGCTTGACTATGCCGGCGTGGCTGCCCAGATAAAGCGCACAACCTCCCACATCGAGAGCCGCTACGTTGATTGCGGCGACGACTTCGGTGGCGGGGTGAGCGAGCGGCTGTCCCCCTTCATCGCGCGCTATGGGGAACCCCAAAACCGGGAGGTGACTGTTGAAGGCATTGACTCGGACGGCCGCCCAGCACACTTCACATTCGTGCTGCATGAGGACAAGGTGGAGGGCTTCGAAGGGCCCGGGAGCCATGACGACTGCGTGGCACTCTGCACAGAGTTCGCGGAGGTGATTGTTCACCAACTCGAGCATCGCCTAGGTGACCTGGATGGGATGTCCGGGGTGAAGCTGTTCCTGCCAGACGAGTACCCGCTGGATCGAGCCGAGAGGAAACGGCGGTGCCTTCAGTGGCTTCAGTCGCTGGTCACCTTGTTCAAGGCCGACCAGACTGAGGAGATCGTGCCAGGTAAGCCTTATCATCCTGCATCGTTGCTCTGCGTCTGTATTGTGCGATGCATGTTTCCTTGTATGTGTTTAATCTTCCCGCTCTGTTTGTTAACTCATTCCAATCTGCTGTTTACCCAATCCCGCCAGGAGTCAACAAGCGCCGTGCAGAGAAGGAGCTGCGCATGTTTACATCGGTGCTTGCAGCCTCTACCAAGGGTGAGCGCAGTTTCCACGCGGGCCTCACAGCCATGCTCAAGACGTCGGACTGGCGGGACAACTACCCCAACCTTGTTCATCTGTGGGTGGCGGTAGCTGTCCTGCCGCTGAGCACCGTGGAGTGCGAGCGGGGGTTCTCGAGGAAGAACATTATCAAGTCGTGGAAGAGAGGCGCCCTGAAGGATGTTCGGCTGGGCGACCTCATGTGCATGAGCCTCATGGACTACGAACCCAACTGGGAGGAGATCGTGACGATCTGGAGGGCCTACAAGAAGCGCAAGTCCCACAGCAACGCTTTGTCAGAGGTCCACTGGAGATCCCCGATGATCCTAGGGAAGGGTTACAGGCACGTCGGCCTGGGGGGTTATGGGCGCACTCACCCGCTATATAAACAAGCCCTTTTATCCCAGTGGTTAGTGACTGGGATTCTGACATGTTATCAGAGCGAAGGTCTCGGGTTCGATTCCCGGTGTGTGCACTTCGGGCATCCCAGTGCGGGGGGGTGTCAGAGGTCCACTGGAGATCCCCGATGATCCTAGGGAAGGGTTACAGGCACGTCGGCCTGGGGGGTTATGGGCGCACTCACCCGCTATATAAACAAGCCCTTTTATCCCAGTGGTTAGTGACTGGGATTCTGACACGCTTCTGACACGCTTCTATGGAAGGAGGCCAAGGAGGCAGAGGAGGTGATGGAAGTAGAAGACGTAGAGCAGGATGATGAGGCATCCGATGATGATGATGGATTTTGAAGAGTAGCCTAGAGTAGATAGGATAGGATAGGATTCTGTAGCTACTAGTTTTGACTCTTGACTGTTATGTGCTAGTAGAATGTATGTACTATGTAGTGTAGGCCAGCTGTGCGTAGTACAACACCTCAGACTCTGGTATGTGGTAGACTCTGAAGGCATCAGACTTTTTTTTTAGGACGCTCTGAAGTTTCAGCCTTTTTTTCCAACCAACTCTGACCAAAACAGACTAACAGAGTGTACTAACTCTGACCAATCAGACAGGCAAAAAACGAATCTGAGGGCCTGCTCGAGGGCGCAGGTTGAGAAGCATTGTTCCGTTGTGTTTTCTGGGTGATGTGGTTTTAGCAGCACTTGTGCTGGTCCCACTGAATGTATAATGTGGCACTTAAATAATATTTTGCAACGTTGCCGTGTAGGAATGTGGAAGGAATCCAATGAACTCCAATTGGAATTGGAATGTTTTGTACAGCTCTGTTTTGTATCATAGCTTTCTATTTTTTTGGAAACTAGCCGGATAGAGGACGTGACGTGCATAAGCCAAAACGAGATGAACAATATGCGGGATGTATTCAAGCCATACCCCTTGCTAGTTGGGTTATGTCAATAGTCGTGGAACGAAACCATGATAGGGGTGGCGCGCGTTGGGACTCCCTCCGCTCATTGTTAGCTTGGAACTGTACCGTAATCCAGTTGTCCAATCAGGCTAAGGGATGACATTTTTTTTGCTCAATCATACGAACGGGATGAGGTGGAAGGGGTCCAGCAGAATCCTCGAAAACAAAAAGGGGCACCTTTCCGCTCCGCTCCCCCCACTGCACAGAGGAAGCCCATCCATGGGCCTCCAGAACCCGTCTGCACAGACTATACAGTACATTGAACCTGGCTACTGTATTCTCGTTTTCATTGCAATCGAGTTGCTTGCCCTGCTGAAGTCCCATAGTCAAATTTCAATGGTTTCGTTGCCTGGGATTTACCGCGTTGCTCTTGAATAGGAGCCCAACACACACAACACCCACACACACACGATCCCCGTGTGTGCGTGCGTGAGGCTACTTCAACGCCACCAGGTCAGCAGAGCTGATCCCACGTTGACTCGCGTTGACTTCCCATCAATGTTTACTATGCTTCCCCGTGCTCCATCATCCTCTGTTCCCTTGCCGTGCGGAATTCACGCTTGCACCCTGAGTTGTGCTGCTCTATCCATCTCTTCCCCCTTAATTCTCCGCTTTCCCTTCCCGATCCCTTCTCTCTTTCCCCCCACCCCCGTTCCCCCTCTTTCCCCCTCCTCTTCTCTCCCCCCCCGTTCAGCATCACCAGGTGCTACTACAGGTGCGGTCGCTCCAAGGCCAACCCGCGCTGTCCGGCCAAGAAGACCGTTGACATCAACGGCCGCAACGGCTCCGACCCGCCCTCCCCCGCCGCCATCCAAGTCGCGTACCGCTGCCGCCTACACAACCACACTCTGCCCTTCCACCGCGCGCCAAGCCACCCTACCGTCCCCCTGAATCGCCCTACTAGTAACAAGCCCCCTACTTACCGCGGAGCTCCTGAACGTATCGGCTACTATGAGCCGCATCCTGTGAGGGACGATGGTGGGGGTGGGGTTGGCGATGTGAACGTCGCGGCTTCACATGGTGGGGGTGGGGTTGGCGTGCCTGCGTCCAAAGGTGTTCGAGTTGTTGATCTTGGTGCTTCTCTCAACGCCCCGCCGGCTGTGCGTTCCGATGTAGCTATGAATTCTATGGCTGCTGATTTCGGTGCGCCTCTGAAGGCCCGGGTGCGGGCATGGCAGCATGAGAGCATGGGAGCGGCTGCTTTTGCTGCTGGTGGTGCTTTCAGTGCTGCTGCTGCTGCTGCTGCTGCTGCTGGCGCTGGCGCTGCTGATGGTGCTGATTGTGCTGATGGCGTTGCTGATGGCGTTGCTACTGGTGCTGCTGGTGTCGCTGCTTCTGCTTCTTCGGCTGCTGCTGCTCCTAGTGGTGCTGCTGCTGCTGCTGCTGCTGATGGTGCTGCTGCTGCTGCTGCTGCTGATGGTGCTGCTGCTGCTGCTGCTGCTGATGGTGCTGCTTCTGCTGCTGCTACTGATGGTGCTGCTTCTGCTGCTGCTGCTGAGGGAGCTGCTGCTTCTGCTGCTGCTGCTGGTGGTGCTGCATCTGCTGTTTTTGCTGCTGATGACGTAGATTGGTCAGAAGCGGCCCTTTTGCACTTTATCTGTCAAGAAGAACAGCCATCTGAGAGTGATCACCTCTATGCCTGGAGCTTCCCTCCAGTCTCTCTCTCGCCTACCCGCCTCCAATCACCTCCTCCGCGACTAGCTGGGCTTATCCCCGTTAGTGGCAGCTCCACTTTCCTCGACAATGCTTCTGCTGTTGACACGGGGAGGTCTTCAGTGTCTGTGGAGCCGCCACTTCTGGCTCTCAGGTCTCAGATGCTGGGAGAGGATGACAGCCGTATATTGTATGTCGCGGAAGAGGATCCTATGGATGAGATTTACTCTTCCCTGGGAGCAATATCGCCTACAAATCGAGGCCTTCAAGAGCTACGAGAGATGTCGCTCTGTCCCCATACCAACCTCGTGGGGATTTTACCCAAATTTTCTGATGATGATGGGGTGTTTGAGGAAGAACGCAGCAAAGGCGGTGTGGTGGTGGGAAATGGGGAGAGGTTGATTCTTGATTTGCACTGTGATGGGGAGGAAGGGCCGGTGCATGGTCCTTCCGGGACGGGAATGGCGGCACTGATGGGGCCTGTGCTGGGTGCTGCTGTGCCGGGTGCTGCTGTGCTGGGTGCTGCTTTGTCTGGCTGCGCTGATGTATGCGATGGTCCTGAGTTTCATACCCAGCAAGAGACTTCTCTGTTGACTCAAAGGGCACCTTTGACGGGCTGCTGTGCTGCATCCGATGCTCCTGGGTTTCAGTCCCAGCAGAATGTGATGGCGCTGCAGCAACAGCAGCAGCAGGAGCAGCAGCAGCAGCAGCAGTTGCAGCAGCAGCAGCAGCAGCAGTTTCAGCAGCAGCAGCAGCAGCAGCAGCAGCAGCAGCAGCAGCAGAGGCAGCAGCAGGCGTCAAAGCAGACGGATCAAGTGACAGCGGTGCGGCTGTCTCTGGCTGATCCCTTCTTGCAGAGCAACATCGCAGGCGTCACGCGTCCACCTGCCTCAGCTGCGCCAGGGACTCTAACTGCCAATCTCCCTGCCTCTCTCCCTGCCGCTCTCCCTGCCCCTCTCCCTTCCTCTATCCCTGCCCCTCTCCCTTCCCACCTCCCAGCACCTTTCCCTGCTCATCTCCCTGCTCCTCTCCCTGCCCCTGTCCCTGCAGCGCAGTCTGCTGCACTGTCCGACACAGGCGTGTGTAAATCACAGTCTCTTACAGCCACCACCTTTGTCACGCTTAGGAATGTGCGGAAGAGACCTGCCTCAGCCATGGATGCACCGCCTCCTGCGCTCCGTGCCACTGACCAAGCCTGTGACCAAGCCTGCGCCCAAGCCTGTGCCCAATCCTGTGCCCAAGCCTGCGTCAAATCCTGCGCCCAAGACTGTGACAAAGCCTGTGCTCGCATGGACCCTGCGGGTATGGTTTTACGAGAGGAGCTGCGTACCTGGAACAACAAACGTCCGGCTTTTTGTGGCTCTAGTTACAAGTCAAGCAGCAAAGAATTCCATACGAGCAGAATGTATTATGAGGCTCCTCAAATCCCGCCCGCACCTTCAATGCGTGGAACTCCTTCGGACCAGCTGGGAATATTCCCAACGAAGTGCGCAATGATTGGCTCACTGCGCCAGCTGCAAGCTACCGGTATGTCGAACCCAGTGATCCCGGCAGCAGTAGTTGCGTTTCTAGGAGGGGGCAGCACCATCCGGGTTTCAGACTTTGCAGCCGTCGGCGTGCGGAAGGAGCTGCAGTCATGGCTCGAGGGTGCCGCTTAGGAGGCATTTCAATGCAGTGTACATGTTGTTTCGAGTTTTCCAGTATAGTACTTCATCTAGTGTACCTGATGCTTCGGATAAGCATGAGCTTGACGTGGCAGTAGTTGTCAATTGTAACGGACTCTCTGCGCTATGGGTTTCCTTTATCTGTGAGTTCTTGCACGTGTACCACTAAGGCCAGTGCGCGGCGTTTTGCGAAGGACAATTATGAGTGGCCTAGAACAGGCTTTGCTGCGAAATCATAATTTCAGAAAACCATTACCATATCAGCATGAAGAAGACATTTTTTTATTTGAAAAAAAAGAAAAGTGAATAATTGTAATATTTCAATACTGATGTTGAATGATATATTGAATATACTATGCACAACTGAAATAAACAAGCGCATTACCAATGCAAACGTTACCATTTCCAATTCCGTAAGAGGCATTTTTTAACTTCAAGATTTGAGATGGTGATATTTTTTTCCCAAATCGGGCAACTCTTGACGTTTTCCCTCAAGCCGGCCGGTTATACGAACCGGTGGCCGGCAAAATGACTACCGACGAGCTGACGACCGGCGAGCTGACGACCGTCGAGCTGACGGCCGGCGAGTCGGTCGTTCAGAATGGGTGTTTTTGTTCAGGCGATCATTTCGCCCTCGAGTCGTTCGTGAGTCATCACTTCCTCCGCAAAAGACAAGGGAGCGTGGATGGGGTCTGTCATGCAGCCCAGGCGAGGGGAACGAAATGTTTGGTTGGCATCTCCCACACCCCCTTTTGCTACAGTAATTTCGAAATACTGTTCGTGCCCACTGTCAGTGAGTACAGTAACTACACTGGGTATTTCTGACCGTAGCAAATTACCGTCATACTGAATGACCCTCCCAAACTAGTCACTTTAATGGTTTTTTTTTCCTCAGTGTTCGCGCCCACGTTGTTACAGTAATGCTGTTTACACCTTAAATGTGAAAGGCATGCCTGTGGAATTCTGAAATGGGCCAGTTTAAAATTCTGATAACCCATTTAACCTACCCTGCTTAAGGGACAAGAAGAATCCACTCGCTCCAGGTGTGCCAGATGCTGCATTCCGGGTCAGGTGATTGCGCTCTGCGTTGTCACGCATGACGAACGTACAAGCAGGGCTCTCGATGTGTTTTTGGCCACCCTGCCAGAAACGAGTCGTGGCCTACCTTCGCCCTGCCACTGCAGTGTGCCAAGCGCGGCATACTCAGGAATTGGCAGGGTGCTTTGCCTTTTATTGTCGGAATTAGCAGGGTAAACAATTCGTTAACACTGTGTGACCTCAGCGGGTCCCAGGGACTTTGCAAATATTGCAGTGTGTTTCGGTGACGCGCTGAATCCCTGAGTGCTCGAGTGACTTAGCCGAATTCCAGTGTGTTTCAGTGACTTGGGCAAATTCCCAGAGTCTTCAGTGACTCAGAGCGTTTGTGTCATCCGAAAATTGAGGTAGCCAATCGGAAAACCCGCGGTTCGAAATTTGAATTTTTCGATTGGATAGCGCAAATTTTGGATGACATGAAGCCGGCATGATCCGAAGCCAAGAATACGCCCTTAGCCAAATCTTCGTTGTGCCTCATGACATCGCTAAATGTCCAGTGTGTTTTTTGTGACTTGGTCAAATTCCCAAATTGAAGTTCAATGACTAGAGACACATTTCCAGTGTAGTTCATGACCTGGCCGCATTCCGAAAGTTTTACTTTCTTAGCTATTTTTACTGACCCAGCCGAAATTTGAGAGCAAGACGAGCCCTAGCAGGGCAGGAATGTCTCATACTCGAGAACGGCAGGTCTGACGACCCTCTCTTATCTGGAATTGAAGGGTACAGTTCTACTCATGTCAAAGCCTGTCAGGGTGATCCAATCGTCCAAGTCAATTCTATCAGGGTAACTTAAAACAATCACTCTGAAAACTTGCTACTCACGGTAAAACCTCCTGACTTCCTGGGGCCAGCGTACAAGGACAGAACTTCAGTGTAACAGTCGTCTCAACCGCATCTACTGTACACGTACATTTCCGATGCGACAGGATTCGTGTTTATCAGCAATATGGAAAATGAAGAAACCCAGCGAAACCAAAATTCGCTGGATGAGGTGACATGGTGCTAGGGTAAAAATGTGCTCTTACTCATAACACCATGAACATGCTTCCATACGCAAGTCACGACGGCATGACTACGAAATTCTCAACTTCCCATTTGATTTGTAACTTGAGACGGTGTGTCCACTGGTGGTATACTACAGTATCAACACCTTCTCTAACCAGTCATGATAGTAAACCGCGCCATGGCCGCACTTCACGCCAAACTCGGAGTTTTATCTAGTAGCATGGGTATGCGCCACTGTTAGCTGGCTGATGACCCAGGAGGAGGTACATTCTGTAACTTAGTCTTTGTTTTACTTGGCCGCCTTCCTTCAAGGAATGACCATCGTCTCGCTCTGCCAGTGGGTGCAAGCCTTGACAAACTGAGTTTGTCTGACCTTCAGCCGGCTCTGATGCTCCTTCGGAACGAGCGCTCCGACGAGCCGCCGCACTGGGCATCTTTCAATGGTTGAAAGTAACAATCGTGCTACTACAGCACCACATTCTTCCCGTGACGGGAAGTAACAACAGTCACTGTCATGGTTGTTCCTTTGCAACTCATTCCCCGCTCTGATTGAGTTATCCTATCGAAAGGACGAGTAGTACTACTACCAGCTTGAACTTCTACTTGTACTGCTTGTCCGGACGCAGCTGGACGCGGGTCTCTGCCATATTATGACAAATCCCTCCGAGATAGGCACTAATCGGCTCCTGGAGAGTCCTCAGCAGGAAACGTCAACCCGTCCGCGGTCTGAGCACGCAACGGATAGCCAGCAATTCTCTGAGAATGATTCAGGAAGCAAGGAGGCGTGCGAGCAGGACTGGGGGCGGCCGGGGTGGGAGGAGGTGGTGGCTCAAGTGGTGGGCTCCGATGGGCACAACTGGCTCAAGTACGGCCAGAAGAAAGTGCAGCGCTCCAATGCCACCAGGTCAATCCTGTTTGACTCCCAATGACTTCTGTTTGAATTGATTTTACTCATGTGACTGCTTTCCATTGTCCTTTGTCAGCAAGTCTTATGTTTTTCAAGTGAGTGCAGGACCTTGTCTCAAATCCATCGCCTTTTCGTAGGAAGGTGCTGCGCTGTTATTGTATGTTTCCTAAACGTTCTGGTAGCTTACAATTTGGGTCGCATCTTCCTCTTTAAGAAATGCTTCCTGGACAGTCTTGAAACTGGAGTTTCATCCAAAGTTGGAGTTTGGAAAGAGCTGCTGAGAACAGATTCAGGACAGGCCTCTTTTGTGAGCCACATCTTACCCACCTGAGGTGCTTTGTAACGCCTGTGGGGCTTACACATAAGGGTTCAGTGCATCCGCTGCGCTTCAAATGGCTAGCGAGGTCTTATACATGTACCACAACCCAGGATTCGATTCTCGGCTGGTACCAGAATCCTCCCACTATTAGGGAGAAGTTGAACGTGGTAACCCAGTTACGGACCCAGGGAACGGCCCGCCATTGACCTGCCCCATCAGCGAATTAGCTGTAGTATTGCCCATTTCCTTTTGAGAATTTTCAAAAGTAAAATAGCACCGACGGCATAATTGATGTCTTCAGAGACCGCGGCCTTCGAGGGATGATTCCCTAAAGTTGGCACCAGGGGGGAGGAGTGTGCCAACGCCTGCGGGGCTTACAAGTGAAGGTTCAGTGCATCCACTGCGCCTCAGATTTAACCCTCGTTTTGACTTAGTGGGTAGCGAGGCGTTGTATGCTTTGAGCAGGGTACTTTACTCATCCAGCTCATTTTTTCTCCCCCCTCCGTAACACCATCCGCTGCATCACAGGTGATTTAAAAGTTCTGATCCGAACAACTACTAATCGTCTCTTCCAAACCCACCTCCCCCCCGTCCTCCCCCCCTCAACCTCTCCCCACCTCCTGCATCATCAGGTGTTACTACAGGTGCGGTCGCTCAAAGGCCATCCCACGCTGCCCAGCCAAGAAAACCGTTGACATCAACTGCGATAACGACTTGGAGACGCTCTCACCCAACGCCATCCAAGTTGCCTATACCAACAGCATCCACAACCATCCCCTGCCTTCCAGACGCACCCGCCTACTCAACCGCCACTTTCTCCCCGTTACTATCCCCACCAAACGGCTGAAAAGGCGATTTACTGACTTCCCTATCAATCAAAATAGCAACCACCCTAGTTGCCAGCCCACCGACCGTCCCACAAGCCACGCTACCGGCTGTGATACAAACCTCGCAGTTTCGCGCAGCGCCGTCCAGCTGGGGGCACTGCAGAATGAGAGCATGGAAGTGAGTGCTGCTGCTGCTGTGCCCGGTGCGGCTGCTGCTGCTGCTGTTAGTGATAGTGGCGCTGGTGCTGCTGGTACTGGTGCTGCTGGTGCTGATGATGGTGCTGATTGTCATGCTGGTGGTGCTGGCTCAGCTGCTGCGGGTGGTGCTGGTGCTGGTGCTATTGCTACTGGTGCTGCTGATGGTGTTATTGATTATGCAGACTTTGCCGCAGCAGCAGCCCTTTTGCACGCTCCCTATCAGGAGCTGTTACTTGAAAGTAGTTGCATGCCTGCGGAAGAAATTTCCCCAATGCCTTCCCTGCCAGCCAACTTAGTAGCACCTCCTATGCGGCCTGATGCACTCGGCTGTGAGATGATTGGAAACGATAAAATCCTTAGATTGCTCAATGACGAGGTGGATCCGACGGATAAGATGCACTCTCTGCTACAAGGGTCAATTCCGCCTACAAAGCAAGGCCTTGAAGATCTTTCACCATGTCACCCTACCAACCACATGGGACTTCCACAGGAATTCAGGGAGCTTGGGGCGGTTGAGGAGGAGCGGAGCGCAAGTGTTGTGATGGTGGGCAATGGGGAGCATTTCTGTCGAGATTTGCATCACAATGGGGAGGGAGGGCCGGTGCACGACTCTTTTTTGAGCTACCTCAAAGATGGGGAGGGAGGGCCGGTGCACGACCCTTCAAAGCCGAGGTTCGCAGCACCGATGGGGTCTGGGCTCGGCACTGCTTTGACTGACTACTGTGCTGCATTTGATGTTTCTGGGCTTGATACGCAGCAGGATGTGATAATGCTGCAGCAACTTTGGCAGCGACTGAGGCGGCGCAGCAGCAGCAGCAGCAGCAGCAGCAGCAGCAGCAGCAGCAGCAGCAGCAGCAGCAGCAGCAGCAGCAGCAGCAGCAGCAGCAGCAGCAGCAGCAGCAGCAGCAGCAGCAGCAGCAGCAGCAGCAGCAGCAGCAGCAGCAGCAGCAGCAGCAGCAGCAGCAGCAGCAGCAGCAGCAGCAGCAGCAGCAGCAGCAGCAGCAGCAGCAGCAGCAGCAGCAGCAGCAGCAGCAGCAGCAGCAGCAGCAGCAGCAGCAGCAGCAGCAGCAGCAGCAGCAGCAAGAGCAAGAGCAAGAGCAGCTTTCAGAGCAGATGGAACAAGTCACAATGTTGCTGCTGTCGCTGACCGATTCATTCATACAGATCAACAACACAGCAAACACCAACACTGGCGTAATGCGCCCTGCCTCAGTCATGCTTGAGATTTTCTTTGCGAATCTCCCCACCACTCTCCCTTCCACTCTCCCTCCCACTCCCCCCTCCACTCTCCCTTACACTCTGCCTTCCACTCTCCGTTCTACTCTCCATCCCAATCTACCCTCCACCCTCCCTCCCACTCTCCCTAACACCCCACCTTCCTCTCTCCCTCCCACTCTCCCAATCACTCTGCCTTCCACTCTCGCTCCCACTTCCCCTCCCACTCTCCCTCTCGCTCTCCCTGAATCCCCCTTCCCTTTCCCCCTTGACCCAGCCACGTGTGCCTCACAGCCCCCAACAGCCACCCGCCATGACACGCAAGTGAAGCGGCAGAATTGGCTACCCCCAACCATGGACGCACAGTTGCCTGGAGTGACTTCCGGGTCCATGCAAAGCTACCCAGCTGTGTGTGCCACAGAACCCCTAACAGCCACCGACCATGACACGCAGCTACCCTCTGCCATGGACGCACAGTTACCTGCAGTGAATTCCAACTCGATGCAAAGCTACCCTGCTATGTGTGCCACAGAGCCTTTAACAACCACCAGCCCTGGTGCGCTCGTGAATCTGCGGAAGCGCCCGGCCTCTGCAATGGATGCATCGCCGCCTGCTCCCCCTGCCCTAGCCAGTGCTCAAGTCGGTGCCTGTGTGGACCCTGAGAGGAAGACTGCACCAGAGGAGCTGCGTGCCTGGAGCCGCAAACACTGGACTGGATGTGGCACGAGCATATCCCCAAGGAACGAGCACTGCTTCCCTCCTCCGCGTGCTTATACTTCTGAGGAGGTGAAGGAGATGGTGGGACAAATGCAGCAGCAGCAGAAGAAGCAGCAGCAGCAGCAGCAGCAGCAGCAGGATCCTCCTGGCTCTTCAAGCAAGCAACAGCAGTGTACTATTCACACTCCAGCGCCAGCAGAAGCTCCGCCCTGGACGCCACACATGCCACTCCTGACCAGCAACTCACACGGTGCAGCAGCGATAGCTGATACAGGCATGCAGGAAGGGACATGCGGTTCAGGTTCGGGACAAGAAACACAGGAAATGCAGCGAGCACGATTAACACAAGGAGGTCTTTCAAGGCAGCAACTCCAAGGTTGCCTAACCAATCAGCTCAATTGCCAGGCCATCCCACGTGCAGGCTCAGTGCCGCAAACAGGCCCAAGGGAACAGATTAGAGCCCACAGAAGCGTACCGGTGCCTTCAATGCACAAATCTCATTGCTCTCATCTTGCAGTGTTCCCTGCTGCAGCAGGGCATGGAGGGAGTGTTCCATTGCCCCAGCAGGAGATGCCTGGGCCTGTGATTCCCGCAGCAGTGTTAGAGTTCCTGGGGGGAGCGAGCACCATCCGAGTTTCAGACTTTGCAGCTGATGACGTGCGAAACGAGCTGCAATTGTGGCTCGAGGGCGCAGCTTAGTGTGCGGCTTAGTTTGGAGCTTAGTGTGCAGCTTAGTGCGCAGATTAGTGTGACGTTGTTGTTAACGTGCAGAAGGATTTGCAGTCACAGCTCGAAAGTACAGCTTAGGATGGCCATCTCGAATTCTTTCATTGGCTTGTTATACTTGTGCAGATATGGTGCACTCTGTAGTTTAAGCTTCCCTGTACAAGCCGTTGGCGTGCAGGAGCTGCAATCATGGCTCGAAAGTAAAGCTTAGGATGTCCATCTTTAATTCCTTTACTGGTTTCATATACTAGTGTAGATATGGAACACTCTGTAGTTTAAGCTTCCCTGTACGGCTTGAAGCTGTTAATGTGCAAAAGGAGCTCCAGCCATGGCTCGAGGGCCACGTGAAAGAAGAGTGTTTTTGAGACGTCTCAAAAACACTCTTCTTTCTCCGTTGACGTGCAAAAGGAGCTCCAGTCATGGCTGGAGGGTGCAGCATATTCAGAATGCCACACCCAACACTGCAAGCAACTCAATGCCAGGGTTCTGCACCGTTACATGATAACGAGTCTGTACAAATGCAGGGCCGTGAAATTGCTCCAGTGTATCTGTATTGCGTGCAAGGGAAGGTGTTGCCGTCGGATCACCATTCCACCATCTGCTACCAACCTGGAGAATATGGAAGATAGGAGAGGAGGTGTGCTGGTTACAGTTTGAGGCACCCTACAAAGGAAATTCTTGCTGCTGGGTCAGTTTTCCAGCAATCTGGATGGAAGGAGGGAGGATGGGGGGACAGGGTGAGGGAGGGATGCAAATATCAGGCTTTCGGGTTGAAGGACTGTGTTGGTGAGGAGGCAAGTCACCATATATGCACACAGTGACAGCAAGAGCAAGAGCAATGAATGGGAGGGCGGGACGAGAGCAGGAGTCCCCATGCGCCTCGAAACTGGGGTTGAGGCACCTCTTGGAGAGCATGACATGTGGCCCTCCCATGAGGCAGGGCATAATCATACAGAAGGGAACACCCATGCAGCACAACCATGCCAAGCCCTGCAACGTTCAGCAGGGTCGGAGGAACGAACAACTCGGTGCCCAAGGATCAAAACGAGGTAACTTTTTGAGTGGACTCAAAAGTCACCTCATGGGTCGGAGGAACGAACAACCCCGTGCCCAGGGATCAATACCCACCGACGCCTTCCTTCAATGTGAAACACTTACCGAGGCGCCTAAAAAGGCGTGCCGCAGGATTGGTAAAACAAACAACTCCGAGACAAGGGATAACAATCAACCGACGCCTTCCTTCAATGCCCATCTAGCCCATCTAGCCCATGTAGCCCATCTAGCCCATCAGGTTCAGCTTGCAGCGACATGAAATGAGGGTGTTTTTGAGACGTCTCAAAACGCCCTCATTTCATGCAGCCAGGTCGGTAAAACGAACAACTCCCACACCAGGGATCAAAACCCACCGACGCCTTCCTTCAATGCCCATCTAACCCATTCAGGTGGTTTGGTTCAGCTCATAGCGCTGCTGCCCGCAGCCAAACAGGGATTGCTAGGCACATTGGCCCAGCAGGAACATTATGGGCCGGTGATTCCGGCTGAGCAGGGAGTGTTTGGCCCATTGCCTTAGCAGGAGAACTTTGAGCCGTTGATGATACCATTCTGGCAGTGATTTTCGAGTCGACTGAAAAAATCACCTGCAGTTAGATAGGACTTGTTTGTTTGGCCCACTGCCCCAGCAGGAAATCTTTGGGCTACTGGTATTGATGCCGGTAGCAGCGTTTGCGCTTCTGGGAGGGGGCAGGCAGCAGCACCTGCGTTTCAAACTATGGTTCGGTATGAAACGCAGGTGCTGCTGCCTGATCACGGGGTTGTTCGTTCCCCCGACCCTGCTGACTACATACTCATGGCTGAAACCGTCGCTGTGGGGGCATTTGTGTTGTGTGTCTGTTTTTGAGGTGTGTAAAGAGCTGCTGCCGTGGCTCAAGGGCGCAGCTTCGGAATGCACGTGCAGATTTCCATAGTCACGTTTCAGTTTTCTTTGAATGACAGGTGTTTACTTATTGTGCTGTTACATAGGTATCTCAGGTTTCCCAGTGATGTCATTCCTCTCTTTCCTCTCATCAAGTTGTTGTCACTTCAGCTTGGGATTTTCACATGCCAGTGGTGGTGATTGATTGTGGCAGACTCTGCCGGCCTTCTTTGTTTGTGATCACTTATAATATCTGCACTAATAATGCGATAGCATGGCATCTTGTTACGGCTCAAACACTGCAACACAGCACACCAAGCACTGCAATGCAACGCTCGGCCAACCTAACAATGCTACACCAAACACTGCAGTGATTCTGCGCAGTTACATCGTTACAAGACTGTACAACATGCAGGGCCAGATGCCTTGGCGTTTGACTTCTTGCCAGATTGGTTCATCCCCTCTTGAATCTGCTCCAGTATCTCTATAATGCGTGCAAAGGAGGGCCTTGCTGCGGGATCACCATTCCAGCAATCTGTTATCAACCTGAGGGATGGGGAGGAGAGGAGAGCGGGGGGGGGGGGGGGGAGGGGGGCGGGGGATAAGAGAACGAGGCCAGCAAGGATTGTACTCTAGAGATAGCGCCAGCGAGAAAATGAGTCAATCCTGGCATGTATACAGCCAAGGCAGGAAGGCGACTAATGATAAGAACGTGAGCTCGAGAGCATGATAAGAACGTGAGCACGAGAGCATGATAAGAACGTGAGCACGAGAGCATGATGAGAACGTGAGCTCGAGAGCAGGGAAATCTGAACACCTCTGAAAGGGCATGACATGTGCCACATGCAGCAGGGCACACCAAAGTGGGACCCACATAGAGCAGGGCACACCCACGCAGCACTCACTCCTTCATCCCCACAGGGTAGGTTCGTCTGGTGAATATAGGAACAATGTCAGACGGCCTTGCTGCTTCCAGTGCTGCCTCCCCCTCACTCCCTCTTCCATCAGCACCAGCAGCAGCAGCACCAGCAGCACCAGCACCACCAGCAGCACCAGCAGCACCAGCAGCACCACTACCACTCCCAACACTCTCCCTATTCCCCACCACCGCACTTGCCCCCTTAAAAAACCCCCCACCCCTCAAGCTCCCCCCCCCATGGTAACTCCCCCCTCCGCTGTGGTGGCTTCCCCCTGCCCCCCCCTCTGCTCCCCCATCTGTGTAGCTGTGACCGCTGCCGCTAAGTGCCAGTGGGAAAAGATTGCCACCGTGGTTGGTTCCTCCGGGTAGCAACTGCCGAATCCGGTCGTATCCTTCAAACATCTGAGGGGGGTGTGAGTATGAGTGGAGATGGGAGATTGAGGAAATGGAATCAAGGCAAGCGACCGAGACATGAGAAAGAGCGGGAACAGCAACAGCCACTGATCTTGTGCAAGAAAACTCCGGATGAATACACTGTAGCAGGATTGTGATACTCCAAACCAATACACACTGTACCTCAAACAGAATGACTCCAAACGAGTACACATCCACACTCTTGTCGTATTCCTGCTGTGCCAACAACTCAGGCGCAGAATAGAGGCCTGCCGAGTGTAGTGTGGGCGGAAGGAGGGGAGGTGGGACAAGGAGAGGAGAGGGGGGGAAAGGAGAGAATAGGAGAGGAAACAAAGGAAGGAAAAGGGGAGAGAAAGCAAGAAAAAGGGAGCAAATTTGTAAAAGAAAAGGAAAGAACTGGAGAAAGGCGGAAGGCAAGGAAAGATAATCGAGAGAGGGAAACGAGCAGAAGAAAAAAAAGAAGGAAAATGAGAAGACATTTAAGTCACGGATTTTAAAAACATACATGACTGAAAGGGGTGGGAGAGGTTGGGGAAGGGCTGGGAGGAGATGAGAGAGGATGGTGGGAGGGTTGCAAAATGGTGAAGGTTGCTTGTAATGGCTGTCTTGAGCTGGCTAAAAAACTTGAGTAGTCTAAAAACGAGGTTTCCGCAATGGCTGGCAAGGGTTGCAATGCAAATGGTGAGGGTTGCTTACGATGGCTGTATTTGGAAAAGGTGAGCTGGCGAGAGAAGTTGGGCTGGAAGAGAGAGACAATGTTCGTTCCCCCCATGCCCATGCCTAGGCCCATGCCCATCCCCATGCCTAGGCCCATGCCCATCGCCTAGGTCCATGCCCATCCCCATGCCTAGGCCCATGCCCATCCCCATGCCTAGGCCCATGCCCATCCCCATGCCTAGGCCCATGCCCATCCCCATGCCTAGGCCCATGCCCATCCCCATGCCCAGGCCCATGCCCATCCCCATGCCTAGGCCCATGCCCATCCCCATGCCCAGGCCCATGCCCATCCCCATGCCCAGGCCCATGCCCATCCCCATGCCCAGGCCCATCCCTGTGCCTATGCCACGCCCGGGTTGCAAATGGTGAAGGTTGCTTGCTTACGATGGCTGTATTTGGAAAAGGTGAGCCGGCGAGAGAAGTTGGGCTGGAAGAGAGAGACAATGTTCGTGCCCCCCATGCCCATGCCTAGGCCCGAGCCTAGGCCCGAGCCTAGGCCCATCCCTGTGCCCATGGAGGGAGTGGGTGGAGCAGCAGCAGTGGCTCGGATGCTTGCCAGGCCAAAATCCGCCACCTTTAGATGGCCTGAATCGTCCCTCAGGAGATTGCTGCCAGTCAGTGCGTTGGGGACGGGGGAAAGCGGGAAGGGAGATGGACAAAGTTGGGTTGGGCAGCAGCAGTGGCTCGGATGCTTGCCAGACCAAAATCTGCCAGCTTGAGCTGGCCTGAGTCGTCCCTCAGGAGGTTGCTGTCAGTGTGGGGGGAAAGGGGAAAGGGGAAAGGGGAAAGGGGAAAGGGGAAAGGGGAAAGGGGAAAGGGGAAAGGGGAAAGGGGAAAGGGGAAAGGGGAAAGGGGAAAGGGGAAAGGGGAAAGGGGAAAGGGGAAAGGGGAAAGGGGAAAGGGGAAAGGGGAAAGGGGAAAGGGGAAAGGGGAAAGGGGAAAGGGGAAAGGGGAAAGGGGAAAGGGGAAGGGGAAAGGGGAAAGGGAAACGGGGGGGGGGAAAGCGAAACGGAAAGGGAGGAAACGGAGGAAGGGAGTCTAAGGAGAGACTGAAATCCGTCACCTTGAGTTGGCTTGAGCCGTCCCGGAGTAGGCTGCTGTTCGTATGGGTGGTGGAGGTTAGGGTATGGGACGGGCAATCGAATTTGGGAGGGGGGAAGAGGAACAGCTGACATGGCTAGATCCTGCGTTACCTCGAGAATGGTTCCACACCCTCCCTCACTCCCTCATCGCCTCACCCACTCCCTCACTCACTCACTGACTCACCAATCCCTTACTCACGCACTCTACCCTCCCCTCCACTCACTCATTCCCACTCCCCCCTCTCACTCACTCCCCCAAATGAGTACCTGGGTGTCAAGTCCCGGTGAATGACTGGGTCTGGCCGGTGCGCGTGCAGATAGCACATGCAGCCTTCCCCTCACCACTCACTTACTACCTTCCCCACATACTACCTTCCCCACATACTACCTTCCCCACATCCTCGCAGCTGCATACCTGGGCGTCAAGTCCCGGTGAATGACTGGGTCTGGCCGGTGCGCGTGCAGATAGCACATGCCCCTGACAGGGGGATATTGGACCAACGGGGGGATGGGGAAGATGGGAGAGATGGGGGAGATGGGGGAAATGGGAGGGGAGGAAACGGAAGGAGGAAAGAGGTATGCAGAGGAGGGGAGCGTGAGATGAGGGGAATGGGAGGGAGGAAAGGGGAGGAGGGAAGAGGAGTGCAGAGGAGGACGGGGTGAATGAAGAGGGCGACAAGAAAGTGTTGGGCATTGCATTGCATTGTGAATGAAGGGGTTGCATTGCATGGATGGGGTGTGGTGAAGAGAGGATGGAAAGCAGCAGTTTGCACGCGACACAGCAGAAAGCCATGCGCATAGCGCAGTGCAGCTGAGTCAACCCAAAACCAAAGGGGTGCCTGGCAACATCGACGGCACACCCACCTGGCAACATCGACGGCACACCCACCTGGCAACATCGACGGCACACCCACCTGGCAACATCGACGGCACACCCACCTGGCAACATCGACGGCACACCCACCTGGCAACATCGACGGCACACCCACCTGGCAACATCGACGGCACACCCACCTGGCAACGTCAAGGGCGTATCGCAGTGCTTCATGGGCTGGCAGAGCACCTTTCTTGCGAATCACGTCCCTCAGATTCACCTGTCAGGCGGACGCATGTGGGAGGGGCGCGAGGAGCGCATGGGGGAGGGGGCGCATGGGGGAGGGGGGGATAGGTGAGGGGGCCGATGGGGGAGGAAGCCGATGGGGCAGGCAGAGCGCCCTTCCTGCGAATGACGTCTCTCAGATTCACAGGGAGGGATGAGCCTTAAGGAGGGGAGAGCATACATGGGGAGAGGGAGGACGGGATACCCCTTTTTTTTTTTTTTTTTTTTTTTTTTTTTTTTTTTTTCCCCGCACTCACCAGCCCCCCGCCCCTCCCCCACCCCCCCCCTCACACTTGCAGCAACAAGCCCACCCACCGCACCTTGAGGTACTCTGTGACGATCATGCGTGGGCGCGACTTGGTGACAGACGCGTTGAGGCAGGCACACTAAGCGAAGCATGCCCCACCCACCGCACCTTGAGGTACTCTGTGACGATCATGCGCGGGGCGCGACTTGGTGACTGCTCCCAGGAACTGCACAATGTTGGGGTGGCGCAGCGACTGCAGGATTCGCAGCTCCTGCCTGAACTCGTTGCTGCAAGCACCAGGGGTGGGGTGGAAAGCCGGGCAGGGGAGCATGGAGGTGGGGGAACGAGTTTATGAGTCAATTCAAGGGGTCGCGAAGATTTATGAGTTCAAGGGGCGAGTGGGGTCGGGTAGGCGGGCGGGAGGAAAAGGCATCGGGAAAAGAAGAAACAGGAGGGGGTGGGTGGGAAGAGCAGGCGAAGAGGTTCGTCAGGATGTGGGGATATTTAGAGCTGGGGGGAGAGGGGAGGGGGGAATAGCAGCAGCAGCAAAAAAAAAAAAACAAAAAAAAAAGAGAGTATGTCTCACTCACTCTTTCTTCCACTTCGAGCTATGTAGTGAGAGTGGAATCTCTAAAAAAACGATTCAGATCTCAACACCTTACATACAGGGCAGCAGGGCAGGGCGGCAATGAAACAGTGACAGCTGGCTTACAGGGCGGCAGGGTCGGCAGCGTATTCGTCTCGCAGCACCTTGACAGCGATGGGTGTGCCCCTCCAACTCGCCAGGCGCACCTCCCCAAACGACCCCTGCCATGGACGAAGGACCATAGGGGGTGGGAGATCAGACGGGGGGGAAGGGGGGGCGGAAAGGGGGAATGGGAAGGAAAGAGGGGTATTCGTTTCTCAGCACCTTGACAGCGATGGGTGTGCCCCTCCAACTCGCCAGGCGCACCTCCCCAAACGACCCCTGCCGTGGACGAAGGACCAAGGGTGGGTTAAGAGAGGACCGAAAAGAGGAAAACCAGAGAGGGTGAGGACGGGTGGGAGGGGAAGCGGAGGAGGGGAGGGAGAAGAAGGGAAAATGAGGGGGGGACGGGGAGAAAGGGAAGACGAGGAACGGAAGGTGAGGAGCGGAAGGTGAGGACCGGAAGGTGAGGAGGGGAAGGTGAGGAGGGGAAGGGGTGGAGGTGAAGGGGAGGGTAAAGGGGAGGAGCTAACGGGCGATCAGATCAGGATGGGGGGGGTGAGCGTGAAAAAGGGGAGGAGGAGAAAGGAGGGAACGACCAACTGTCCAATGACCCCACCAGCTCCACTTTCCAGAATGCCCTGCACATCTGGAAAGTGCACCTCATACCCCGTCCTCCTTCTCACCCCGCCCCCTCTTCCTCCCTGCACATCTGGGCCCCCTCCCTCCTCACCTCTACCCGCCATCCAACCCCATTTCTCGCTGTTTACAACCCCCCCCCCTCGTCCCCCCTTCCCTCCTCTTTTTCCCATGCTCACTCCCCCTTGACACCCCACTCCTACCTACGCACCTCGCCTATGACCTTGGAGGTGCCTAGATCGATCTCACTGCCATCGATCTCGTAGTCGTGTTGATTGAACGAGTTCGCCCCTGCATTGCGTATGCGCGCACTCTGTCAGGCGTGGGGGGGAGCAGAGGGAAAGAATCGGGGGGAGGAGGAAAAGCGGTGGGGAGAGGCGGGGGGGAGAGGGGGTGGCGGGGAAACGATGCTGGGCTAATTACTTGGGAAGTAGGGGCAAGATTTACAATATAGACTGACTAGAAACAACAGACGGAGCAGTCAATGAGAGATGCGGGAACGATACAAGGAACGCCGGAGGACGGAAAAGGGAGGTGTGAGGGTTAGGGAGGCGGGGGGGGAGGGAGGGGAGAGAGGGGGATGCTTTCTTTGTTTTGGATAGAAAAACAAGCGCAAGGGGAAAGGTAGACAGGGAATGAAGATTGCATGGAGCATTGGAGATTCAGGAGAGGAGAAACGTGGAAGGGATGAAATCCCACCATTCCATCGCGCTCTCATACCCCAGATTCCCCGTTCCTCTATTTTTCCCTAGCCCCCACGTTCCCCGCGCACCCCACAGAGCATGCCGCCCTTCTCAATTCCCCTTTTCCCCGCAGCCCACTCCCACTCTCCCGGCGTTCCCCACGCACCTCACAGAGCATGCCCCCTCACCTCACAGAGCATGCCCCCTCACCTCACAGAGCATGCATGCCCCCTCACCCAAGGATGAAAAATACGGAAATCGTATTAAACGGTTCGTTTAATACGATGGTATTATACGGCCATTTGTGGAAAAATACGGCGTTTTTTTGAAAGAGTTTTTTTTGCCGTTTTTTTTTTTTTTTTTTTTTTTTTTCCCTTGGAATGATATCTTCCAACTTCTGGAGGGTGCACAAAACCTAACTAAACAATATGGACCAGCTACCACGGCTACTACACAACATCCCCTCCCCTCTAGTACTACTCCCCTCCCCTCCCCTCTACTCTACTCTACTACTACTCATACTAGGTAGGACCTACCTGGTAGGTCACTACTACTACTACTCTATGCCTCGCCCGCCCACGTCTCTTCTCCCCTACATCACCCTCCTCTACTCATCGTCCCCATCCTCCTCCTCGTCATTCTCCTCCTCCTCCTCCTCCTCCTCCTCCTCCTCCCCCTCCTCCTCCTCCTCCTCTTCCTCCCCGCTCGAGCCATCACTAATGTCCCACGGATTCTCGCCCGAGCGCGTCTTGGTGGTGGGCACATGCTCCTCCTCCTCATCGCCACTGCTGTCCGCCGCCTCCTCCTCCTCATCCTCACACGCTGCCGCGACTTTCTTCTTACCTTTGCTAGGCTTGGCCGCCTTGCCCTTCCTCTTCTTGTTGGAGCTCTCACGCACCTTTTTCTTCTTCTTACCAATCTGCCCGAAGAGGTCCCAGTCAATGGTGCATGCCACTTTCACCTCTCCCTCCTCATCAGCCCCCTCTTCCTCCACCTCTTCCTCTGCCGGGGCGACGACACTCCCTTCCTTGAGGGTGCCGTTGCTCAGATCGGCGTAGAGCTTCTCCCTCACCTTCTGCTTCCTGTCAAAGGTGTCCCGAGCCCTCCTCATGAACGCGACATAGGTCACGTCCGTCATCTTCTTGGCGGATATGCGGTTACGGTCGCGCCTTTGCACTCGAGCAATCGCGGACCAGTAACGCTCCACCTCGGATGACGTTACCGGCTGTGACAGCAGCATCACTGCCACTGCCTGCAGCGCCGCCACCTCCCCGCCATACATCCACCACCATTCGGCATCCGTCAGGCGCCCCCCCGCCACCAAAACCTTTGCAGCCCACCGTGCATCGGGGGACCCCAACAGTCCCTCGCCCTTGTGGAACTGAGCCAACTGCGCGTTGAGGAGGGTGCGCTGGGCGACATCCTTCACCCGTGCTTGGATGACCGCCTCCGCCCCACTCCTCACCTCCTCATCCTCCCGCACTTCCCCCACATACTGATTGCGGGGGTTGAGGAGCCACCCGAGAGCGTGGAGTGGGTTATGCAGCTGCTTGTCCCACCTCTTGACGAGGATAGCCTTGACTTCCGCCAGGAATGCGGGCTTGTCCTTTGCCAACAGCAGTTCCGTGCGCTTGACAAACATGGCGGCTGCCAATGGGAAGTACAAACACGATGAAGGGCGGTAAGCATGGGCAGAAACGGGCTGTGCATGCAATCACGACTCCCAAAGGCGTACATGCATGCAAAGGTATGTCTTACCTCCAGCCTGGGCCGCCACGTTGGTCTTCACCGTGGCCTCACACATGAGGCCATATAATTGCCCCATAACTAGAGCTCGCGTGTCGACGACCCGAAGGACATCATACACGGGCTGCATGATGCGGAGGACTGCCGTTGCGCAATCCCAAAACACCTCATCCAAGAGGAGAGTTCGGACCGCCTTCCCCTCCGGCTGCTTTGCCACCGCAATCTCCTCCCACTCCTCACTTATGACCATCTGCCGCAGCGACTTCTTTACTTCGAGGAATCTGGCGAGCATGATGACGTGCGTGCCAAACCGAGTTGCACCTGGCCGCACCAAGGCAAGCTCGCTGAAGACCTCATGGAAGAGAGTGACGGCGGAGGCGCTTGCCTTCACCATCATGACCACGCGGTTCACCTGGCTTATGACCCGCTTCACCGCACGAATCTTGCCGAAATCGTGCAGCATGAGGTCGAGTACGTGAGCGGCGCAGTTGTTGAAGAAGATGCCCGGGTATTCGTCGCGCAAAATGTCTGCCGCCCGTCGGTTATTAGCCGCGTTGTCCATGACGACCTGGACGACGGTCTTGTCCCCCACCTTGCTAATGGAGTTGCGGAGGAGCTTGGCAAGATACCCGTCAGTCTTCTTTGCCGTCTTGGAGTCTATGGTCTCCACAATCACCGGTGCCGTGTCGTTGAGGGCGATGACGCAAACAAGCCCTCGAGACTTCAAGCAGGTCCATCCGTCGCACACCAGGGTGCAGCCGCGTTTGAGCCAGCTATCCATCATCGGCTTCGCTAGCTCCTCCGTATCCGCCCGTAATTTCAGCAGAAGCGTGCCTCCAACCTTGTAGGGGGACGGGAGGGTGTATGGCTTCGCGAAGGCGAGAGCCGCATCAACGAATTCCTGCACCGCCCTGGACTTAGATGACTGGAAGGCCCAGTCGTTCTCCGCGACAGCCGCGGCCCAGAGGTAGTCCAGACGAGAGCGCGCAGTCGTATCCGCCATGTCGCGGATGTCGCGCTGCCGAACGCGACGAGGGGCATGAATCTCGACCGTAGTAGAAGTGGAGGCTCGGTTCGACCCACCGAATGTTGAGCGTGCCTGGTCCTCTGCTTCCTCGCGAAGCTTCTTTGCCACATCAGAACCGCATGGAGTCACGTTCTTATCCTTCTTCGTCTCTGGCGTCCCGTACACATGCTCGCCTATGCGCGTCGCGTTGGCAGTCACGGTTTCACCACAGTGTTTGCATTTCGCAGTGAGGTTTCCGTCCTTCGCTGAACCCGCCGTCACAACATGAATCCATAGTGGCGATTTCGGTTGCACCATGGCGTTGGAAGACCTGCTCTATCAGAGAGGTGAGATTGTTTGAGAGATGTAGTGCAGAAGTGAGTCACTGGAGGTCAGTATTAGTACCTTGCTGGGGTTTTGGTGTTTGCTGTGTCAAAAGAGTCGTGTGAGAGGGATGAGTTCAGAAGATGCAAGGCGATTGGCTGGCTTGGATGCGCGGCGTGAAGAGCAGGGTTCGTTTTGGATTTGTGCGAAAATTAGCCATTGGGCGCGAGATTTCGAAGCGGGCATAGCGGAACGGGTGAACTAGTTTCAACCGTTCGCCAAATGTTGAAATCTCGCGACTCGGTCACACATTCTCGTTGCGCTTCAACGAAACAAATTTTGCAGTAACGAAACAGGTAATCCCTGTTTTCGCCATCGTCCTTTTCCTACAATGTCGCGACTCGAATGTGACGTGGAATTCGCGACCCGGGCCAAAAACGATTCTACCGCCATACATTCGTGTGCAGTCTCACAATGGGACTGTACGGCGGACAAATTGTGAATCTCACTATAGTATATAACGGTTTCAAAAAAACCATCGTCTAAAACGACCGTATTTTTAATCGAAACAGAAAAACACAAATTAACCGTATTTAACCGTTTAAAACGATCGTTTAATACGATACCGTATAATACGGTAAAAAAACAAAAATACGGTCGTATTTTTGATCCTTGCCCTCACCTCACAGAGCATGCCCCCTCACCTCACAGAGCATGCCCCCTCACCTCACACAGCATGCCCCCTCACCTCACAGAGCATGCCCCCTCACCTCACAGAGCATGCCCCCTCACCTCACAGAGCATGCCCCCTCACCTCACACAGCATGCCCCCTCACCTCACAGAGCATGCCCCCTCACCTCACAGAGCATGCCCCCTCACCTCACACAGCATGCCCCCTCACCTCACAGAGCATGCCCCCTCACCTCACAGAGCATGCCCCCTCACCTCACAGAGCATGCCCCCTCACCTCACAGAGCATGCCCCCTCACCTCACAGAGCATGCCCCCTCACCTCACAGAGCATGCCCCCTCACCTCACAGAGCATGCCCCCTCACCTCACAGAGCATGCCCCCTCACCTCACAGAGCATGCCCCCTCACCTCACAGAGCATGCCCCCTCACCTCACAGAGCATGCCCCCTCACCTCACAGAGCATGCCCCCTCACCTCACAGAGCATGCCCCCTCACCTCACAGAGCATGCCCCCTCACCTCACAGAGCATGCCCCCTCACCTCACAGAGCATGCCCACTCACCTCACACAGCATGCCCCCTTTCTCCTTGAGCAGGCGGCAGATCTCCGCCGATCCATACGACTGCGCGTCCGCCAGGGGCTGCCAGGGGGGCGGAGGGTGGTGGGGGAGGAGGGCAATGGCCGCCATGCCCATGCCATGCCATCCCATATCATGTCATGTCAGGCCACATCACGCAATGCCATCCCATCCCATCCCATCCCATCCCATCCTAAATCATGCCATCCTATCCCATCTCATGTCATGCCATGCCATGCCATGCCATGCCATGTCATGCCGTCCCGTCCCATCCCATACCGCCGTGCTATCCCACACCATGCCATGCTATGCCATGCCATGCCATGCCATGCCATGCCATGCCATGCCATGCCATCCCATCCCATCCCATCCCATCCCATCCCATCCCATCGCATCCCATCCCATCCCATCCCATCCCATCCCATCCCATCCCATCCCATCCCATCCCATGCCATGCCATACCGTGCTATCCCACACCATGCCATGCCATGCCATCCCATCCCATCCCATCCCATCCCATCCCATCCCATCCCATCCCATCCCATCCCATCCCATCCCATCCCATCCCATCCCACCGCAACCCACGCCACGCCACGCCACTCCACGCCATGCCACGCCATGTTATGCCATTCCATGCCAGAGCAATAACATTGTGATGCCACATAGCCAGGTAACGATGTGACGTCACGGCCATTCAACTCCGTTCACGGCCATTGTAAAAGGTTGGGTTGGAGTCACCACGATGGCCAGTATAAATGCCTCACGCCATCCGCCTGCTGCCATGCACCCCTTCTTATCGTACTGCAACCCATCTCACCGTGTTGCCATGCCGGTCCTTGGGGTTCACATCCGCGCCTCGCTCCAGCAGCACCCGCACCACATCCACCTTCCCCTCGCTCGCCGCCAGATGCAGCGCGGTTCGCCCGTCGTAGTCCGCCAAATCCGGACTCACCCCGCGATCCAATAGGTCTATAACCCCCTCGATTATACCGCGGCTCGCGAGGAACAGCAGCTGCCCCGTAGCGTCTACCAGCTCGCGGTGCCGCGCTGACGTGTTCGCCGCGTCTTGACCGTTGCGAGCGTCTGTGATTGGCCCTTTCGGAGCGAGAATCGCGACGTTACTACTTGGACTACTAGGGGCAAGGGTAACAGACTGAGATAGACCTAGACCTTGATCGACGCCAGGGTAACTACCCTCATCTTTATCGTCAAGGTTACTACGAGCTTGAGCTTTATCGTCAGGGTCACTGGTACTTCCTTGACTTTGTATTCTGTCTGTCTCCGTCGGAAACTCAGTCGCGGATGTTTCCGCCAATGCTAAAGCTGGCGGAGTCGCCGGCGCTTCCGCAAGCAGCGCGATGGCGCCGGTTTCCGCCGCGTCGCGAGGTTCCCCCGTCCCCTCGGCTTGCGCAGACTCCGCTGCTGCTGCTATCGTTTCCGCTGGTTTCCGCGCCGCTGATGGCATTTCCGAAGCAGGAGTTTCCGCGGCTGGAATTTCCGCAGAACGAGTTTCCGCGGCTAGCATTTCCGGAGAAGGAGTCTCCCCGGCTGGCACCTCCGGAACAGGAGTTTCCGCGGCTGCCATTTCGCCTGGAGGTGTCGGTATGTGCTCTGCATGATTTAGGGTTTCCGGTTCGAGTGACTCGAATGCGTGGTGACTGGAGTTACTTTCGCGTAGTGTCGCATCATCTAGTGAGATCCCGGTGCTAAGAATCTTCGTGTTTTCAAAGTCAGATCAGCTAAGAAGCCTACCTAACGGACAGAAAGTCGAGCCGCGCGACGCGTGATCGTTCCCGTTTGATATACTACAGATCGTGAAGGGATATCGAGCGCGAATCTTTACATCGAGGACAACCGGACGGAAATTCTACACCGGCAGCAGCACTTCTTCGACATAAAACCACTGTTGGGAGGTTCTACTACCAGCAGCGGCAGAACCACCAAGAACCATAACGCTCAACAATTACAAAAGCGGTTTCGTGATGTGTGAATTTCGCTTCAAGGCGTTTCGATTCAATCCCTCGGCCCAGCTCTTATTTCGAAAGGAATGGTTCAGATCGATTCGGTTTTGAATGTTTGCGAACGACGGAAAAGGGTTCGAAGGGATGCGAGGTGTCACTGAAGCGCGAGGGCAGCACCCACAGGCTTCGGTATAGTAGGGATTCGATAGCGAATGTTTCGTGGGTTGTGTAGGCGAAAATAGTTACGTTTATCATGTCCTCCTAATTATCAAACAGGTGGGCTGGTGGGGAGGGCAAGAAAAACAGGTGAGCTTGGGTTGGAAAGCAAGAGAATGGGACTGGGGTTGTGAGAAAAAGAATCGAGCAACATAGGATCTCCTCTGCATTCACGGTTGGCTTCATTCCGGAGCTATTGAATCGGGGTTGCTTTAGATCAGATGCTGAAATATAAGTGTAAGAGTTCCCAAATAACTCAGTGAGGGTATAAAAACTGTCACCCTCTCCCTTCCAGCATCCTTAATTCATGCATAGAAGTACAGAGAGAGAGAAAAAAGGACACACACATACACACGCACGCACGCATGCACGCACGCACGCAGGCACGCAGGCACGCAGGCACACAGGCACACACGCACGCACGCATGCACGCACGCACGCACGCACGCACACACACACTCTCACACACACACACACACACACACACACACACACACACACACACACACAAAGCGTATGCAGTGGCACTTTTATTTACTTTATGCTCTTTTCACCGTAGAGGAGACAAAGCATTTCATGACACTATTAATCAACATCAATACTGCCACGTCACTCCAATACTGCTAGGCAAGAAACTCGCTCAACGTATCATCCGCACTGTGATCATATCCTGGCGTTGGTATGTTAACTACATGATTGTGCAACTCAGTAAGTCCATCCAAGGTTTCACCCTCTCCCCAAAACAAATCAACGCAATTCTCGAACGTTTGAGAGATCAAAACGGTAACATCTTCGTCAAAGACGGTTAAAGGCAGGATAGGAAAATCGATGTCGGCAGCAACAGCGTCCAACCCAGCACAAAATTGAAGCTGCTCCTGATCATTACCAGCCGCTTCAATAAAAACAGGGCTGGAATTGAAGTGTGCAGGTGCTGATTCGGTGCGCCTGGCTCTTTTAGCACACGGTGTGCCATCAAGCAAACCACTGTCATTCCACTCACAGATTTCCCTGTCCGACATTGATGGTGTAACACTGCTGTCGTCAAAGAAATTGCTGATTTCAGGGAGCTGAACAGAATGCACTTCACCAATTGGGGGCCCTCCAAAGCTGGACCCACATTTCGAAGAGCAACCGGCAGCGTCGGCAGCTGTTTGGGAAACCCCATCAGCATCTTCCTCATTGTTTGTTGAGGCTGGGCATTGCTGGAAAATCCTTTTGGGGACCGCAGAAGAACCAGCAGCATGCTCTAGAGCCACGGATGCAGAGCTGCTGGCGGAGATGGCTGGAGTAGTGGCATGAGGAGTTAGCGCTGCGGGAGCATTATCACTTTGCACTGAATGCGGGCCCGAAACAGCATCAAGGCTGGCGTTAACAGCGCTGTAAGCAGAACAGCAGCCGGAGGGAGCATATTCATAACCATGATGCTCCTGGGATGATGGATGCCACATATTCCTCTGTTTCTCAGGTGCCTCAGCAACGGGGTGCATTCTGGAGAGACGGCTAGGTTCCTTGCAGATGCGTTTCTCAAGAGGAGGCGGGTGGTTGTGGTGGGGGCTGCTGTAGTTGATGTGAATTGTCGACAAAGTGTATTTTTTTCGCCGATCATACTCCACAGTCTTCTTAGCTCTGCAGGGGGGGTCTTCTTTGAAGCAGGAGCACTTGTAGTAGCAGCTGCCATACGCATGGGAAAGCGACATCCATCGTTGTTAGGTGTCATTATTATTACCTCACTATAATTTTTGCCTCTGTGAGCGTGTTTCATGCACAAGTTATCATAGCAGCCACAAATACTCTCCAAGTCATGACAAATTGTAAGCACCAGCTTACCGAGTAATGACCGATTGCAAGCACCAGCTTACCGAGTAATGACCGATTGCAAGCACCAGCTTACCGAGTAATGACCGATTGCAAGCACCACCGATTGCAAGCACCAGCTTACCGAGAAATGACCGATTGTAAGCACCAGCTTACCGAGTAATGACCGATTGTAAGCACCAGCTTACCGAGTAATGACCGATTGCAAGCACCAGCTTACCGAGTAATGACCGATTGCAAGCACCAGCTTACCGAGTAATGACCGATTGCAAGCACCAGCTTACCGAGTAATGACCGATTGCAAGCACTAGCTTACCGAGTAATGAAGGTGTAGCTAACATGCTTTTGACCGTATTTCAGCCAAATGTAGCCATCAGCACGAACAATTTCCTGCAGCATGCCGGCATCGATAGCGGACTCCTCCATCTTGGGCGACATGTTCGCCCAGAACTCGATTAGAAGGTCGTGAAGGTGTCACGACGCGAGTGTCGTGAAATGGTCAAGAAGATATCTCTGAAGTTTAGTTAACCGGCAGTGCTGTCACGTCTGCTGGTTGGAATCATATAAGCGTTAGAATGATCTGACAAAGAGCAATACGACATCACCTGCCATTGCCACTGGCAGTGCTTTCATTCTTGATCAAGCATCCCAACATTCCCGATCGGCCTCGGAGCGAAGGCACCACGATGTGTCTACCTCGTGCCCTGGAGTAAATTACTACCGTAAGAGTGAACATTTTCGTAACTACCACGTAAAATGTAACCCCCTGCAAACAAGCCCGCAATAGACCAGTGGTCTGCGATCAGGGATGAAGTGCACGGGCTGTACTACAGACACTTACTACGGTGATCATGGATGCATCATCCTTAAAATCTCCCCATCATCCACCTCAAGGGTTCCTCGGGGTCAATGGATACTGCAAAGGTGGCCGACTAGGATACCAACAGTTTTGTAAAAAATTGCCGGCTTGCACAACAAAAATAACAAAAACCTGTGCCAACCTGTGCCAACCTAAGAAGATCACTCGAAGTGGCCAGAAATCTGACTAGTGAATGGGCAGTTTTTTCACCAGCCACCCTTCCTCCGATATTACGGTTTTGCCCCGAAACTGCGTTTTTGCCCCGGTACCCTACCCAACCATTCTAATTCTTACGAATAACGTTCCACATCCTACCAAAGTCTTACGAATTTCTTTCCCAGGTAGCATGAAAGAATGGTTGGGGACATCATGGTGAGGATGGTTTGAGAGGGGTTGCTTGGGGTGGAATGGAGTGGGTTGGAGTTTACGTGGGATGGAGATTTGAAGCGATCAACCTGGTACGAATCCGATGAATGTGCAACCCACCTTGGAGGAAAGTGGGTTGCACATTCATCGGGCTCGTGTGTCCGCCTGGCAGCTGCCGACTTTTATTGTGCCCAGGGCAGCTAGCACAACCCTGTTGTGATAGATGCCTCGCTTCATGTTGGTTTTGGTTGGCTGGAAACCCAGATCGGCTGCGCCCATTGGTGTAATTTTCAGAGCAAACACGTGGCACCTGTCCTTCCTGCCACAATGGATTTTAGACATTTGAATACTACAAACTTTAGCGCGCAGCCACCTTTTTATGCAAATACTGTACGCGCGCAGCCGCCTTTTTATGCATGTACCCCCAACCAAAGAGCATACCACCTGCATTTGTTCGTACCCATCACAAACAGTCACCACGGCTAATCGCAGCCGTTAAATACAGAGGTTTTTGCGCTGTCCTCCATCCGTTCCCGGAGGATTTTTCTTCTATTTTTTTCAGAGAGTTGCGACTTGAGGCAGGCAAAGAGTCTCACTTACAGTCCCATTACCCGTGACACAGTTGCTGGTTTGGTTTGAAAACTGTAGAGCTGGAAGTTGAAACTTAGCAAAGGCACATATGCCGTGCCGATTCATCCAAACCACCGCACGTAGAACTCACGTGTCGAGCGTCGGTTTTTGAGGTGAGGACAGATCACCACCAGGCCTGTCGAAGTTTCTGGGGCTCGTACTTGCGCTCCCCAGCTCCTCCCCATCTGACCCTTGGTTGGGTGTAGGTGAGCGCTTTGGCGCACCCCAAAGTGAAAACTTGAAATCCGGGCATGTGAGGAGTTTGCACCACACTTACACTTAGCCAGATTCACCCAATCTTATCCTATGTGTCACAGCTGTAACCTGCAGCCAGCTCGTATTGGACGCTAAGGGAATGTTCGGGTGCTCCAAGGCTGACTGAGACCGAAGTCTCAAGTTTGCCCACCATGAAGTTTGCCCACCATCAGAGCTTTTCCGAAGCTGACGGTGTCCAGGTGGGGCAGGGCCCCACTTTGGCCACCAAACCTGCTTTTGGCGGGCGACAGAGGTCGCCCGGATCGCATGACAGGTGTACATTCAAATCCACTTCGCCTCCAATAGAAACCTCCCGTCAAATCGCACGCTGAACGTGCAATAAAATTCGTGAACCAATCACCTAAGGGCGGGGGCAGCGCGTTCATTTTCTTGGCTTAGCCCGAAACAGTTACCAGATTCAGCGGTTTGTAACCCTGATTTAGAGTAACGAGCGGACACGATGGAGTATACAGTGGATGAACG